GCACACAGTGAAGGAAAGAGCGCTATTTATTAGGTTGTGAGTTTCTCTGTTTTGCCTTTACAGATGCACAAAAGGTCATTGAAAGTGTAACTGAAGGAAACGGGTCGGACGAGCCTACAGAGAAGACTCTAGCTGCGGGGCTGGTGGACGGGCCCGGGGGCAGCCAGACAGCGGAACCATCCAGGAGCGGCCTTGAGCCCTGCCACGGTGACTCGCCGGCTCCTAACCTTTCTCCCCCATTACGCTGATAATCGCCTTGCATTGTGGTTACCATAAAATAACTCTCATTGGCATCCAAGCTTTATAAAAACACCTTCATTTTGCTCAAAAAGGGCAGTCAATAGATACAGAGAAGCCAAACTGAACAGCCTCAACAAAATAAAATTAACATCAGCAGCAAATCCTCTTGCTGAAGACTTCGGATAGGGTGCACGTGTACCAAAGTTCTAGGGCTGTTAAAAAGGGGCACACACCCACACACTGTCCCTCGCCTGGACACACTGGGTAGGAGGTCAGTTATGGATCTTAATCGCCTTCTCCAGGTAAGTGTAGCGACTCCTCTTTGGGGCTTTGTTGAAGTGGTCGAGCCCTAGCCACGGCCGCGGGTGAGACATGTTACCTGGTGAGGAGAAAGAGAAGCGGCTGAGACCAGGAGACAGAGCTGGCCTGGATTACGGGACCAGGAGGACACTCGGGACCACCAGGGCAGCTCACCCCCTAAAGCCGGGACTTCCAAAGCTAAGGATACCCATGCCAAAAAACTTCTTGAACATGAGAACTGTCACTCAGAGTCAGCAACACCCCCACCTTTTTGAGCCACCACTCAACATGTCGGCACTGGAATCTCTGCACAATGCCCAGGTTATGGGCTGCTTCCATTTCACTCTGGCTGGGCTTTACGGGCCACGCAGGTATGAAAAGAGAAGAGGGGCGGCCCCTCCCCAGCCACATGCACCTCGCTGTGCAGACCCCGGCCTCATTCTCGAGAATGTTCTTACCAGGCTGCGGTTCAAAGTCTTTCAAGTTCACTTCATACTCATCTTCATTTATGTACTGGTGTCGGCCCATCATCACAATTGCAAATTTAAACTAAAAGACAAAATTTAGAACTCCTTCATTATTCTCATACATCAGTAAAACCTGCATCTTCGGCAGAAAAGCAGGGCCACCCTGCTGGCCGACTCTGAGCTTGGCACCCACGAGCCCCTCCCAGGCCCGGGGAGCAGGTACCTTCTCAAACTCCTTTTCCTGGACGTCCAGCAGACTCTGGATCCGCTTCATCACTTCTCTGAAATGCTCGCCCTGGACGGCAAAGGACACACATGCTCACAGTTCACACCTTGCTCAGGGACAGTGGCCACTGAGGAGCTTCAAGTTTGCGTGTGAGATGTCCAACTGATACAAAAACCCTACCTGGTGTATCCTCAGCAAAAATGGAATTCCAAACGTCCCAAACACCTCCTTGTGGAAATGTGCCACTGTGATCAGCATCTCATTTTCCTTATCGATGTCGACCTGGTCCAAAGGTATTTCCTGGGGATACATTTCAAACACAGCTGAAATGCAGTTGATGCAGACAGGACAACTGCACTTCAGGTACCACTCGCTACTCCAACAGGAGGCTAGATCCTATTTTTGCCCAAATCCCTAGAATGAGGAGAGCTCACGCAGAAAATAACTAAATTTTCTTCAAAGGACAACTTGAGTTTTATTTATTATTTTGCTATAGGGTGTGTATACTTGCCGGAGGCAGAGCGGGAAGTGAGAAATCATCCCCTGGGGGGATGGTTACACCTCAATCCCTTCTCCATTCTCCTCTCCCAGTTCTGGGCACGCATGTTTTTCAAGTCGCCAGGTCTGGGACTCAAACTGTGTGCTGGGTCATGTTGGATCCAGTGCCTTAACTACCATGCCGCAGGCTGGCCCAACAATTTGACTTTTCAGAAACCAAATCATGTATCATTCCAGTTACTGCAGAAGTGTCAGTAGCTTAACAGTGACCCACAGTCTCTGTCTACATTTGCTTGGTGGCCCACACTTTAAATTAATTCCTAAGAACAAATACTGCATGATTTCACCTATGCCTAGGAGTCAAATTCAAAGACAGAAAGTGGAACGCTAGCTGCTGGGGAGAGGACAGGAGAGGAATGGGCAGACTTGGTTTGGGAGGATGAGAGGGGTCTGGGATGGATGGGGCAGCTGGCTGCATGCAGTGGGAACGGATCTAACACGCCCAATCATGATGGCGGTGGTGTGTGTGGTGTCACGTCTATCTTCTCGAATAAAACTTCCCTTAAAATCTAAAAGCACACAGGTAACCGCGGCGGGAACACGGACCACTGGTGCACACAGGACTGAGGGACATCTGCAGTCTGCTCTGTGTAAACGGGGGCGGAGCAGCCCCTGCCCCGGGGACTGTGTCCTCTCTGGCACCAACACCAGGACAGTTTACCTCTATTCGAAACGTTCGACTCGTTGCGGGAGATAAACATTCTAATAGCTCATCTTCTTGATGCACACCAATGATTTTGTAGCTTACAATTTCTAGCAGCCTGAACAAAAAGAGAAACAAGTAAGGAAGTGAGGTATCTACATTCATGAAGAACAAACAAACAAACAAAGAACCACAAACAGGTCTTCAGGGAAAAAGCATGTCTTCAGAGCCAGCAAGGTGTGTTGCATTGTGCTGTTTTGTTTTTAAGAAATGCTAGAAGCAGGTGTTCATGGGGAGCAGACAGACCTGGACCAGGTGGCCCTCAGAGCATGAAGCTAAGAGGAAGAAAGTCCACTGTGTCCCCAGCTGGGCTCAGTGGAAGAAGTCCCACTGGGCAGAGATACAGGCTAAACTGAGTCTTCCAGAACTCTGCAAATTCAAAATGGGTGTGTGTGTGTGTGTGGGGGGGGGCAGATGGCTGTCCTCACTCTTTACATAATAGAGAAAAGTCTCACTTTTAAAACATCAGAATTACAAATAGGGCTGGCTGGTGAAACGTGAGGCTGTGAGGTGCCCCACAAGGGAGGCCTGCCAGATGCACCCGAGCGGCAGGAGTATGCCGCACACAGGTCCCGGATGCCAAGGCTGGGCCCGTGACACCAAGACCCCGTCGAGGTGCTGCTTCCCGTCTCTTCCGCCCATGGGAGAATAAGCTTTTTGTAAAAGTTATAAAAGAAACATTTTCTAAATCAAAGACACAGAAATGATTTATCCTCAGGACCAGTAGTTAATGTTAATGGCTATATCGCTGGACTCCTGTGTAGTCAACCGTGGTTCAAATCCTAGACCCGGTGGCTTAAACTCACACTGGGAGTGCGTGTGTGCGTGCCCAGGATCCCGAGAGGAGAGTGGAGGAGAAGTGATTGCTGTGTGGCCACCCTCCTGGGGGGTGATTTCTCGCTTTCTGTCTCTCTGGTGAGCACACGCGCCCTATAACAAAAACCTATTTAAAAAAAAAAAAAAAAAAAAAAAAAAAAAAAGTAAAGGGCCTGAGTTTCTGGGCTCTGGAGAGAGAAAGTCATAATTTTTTTAAAAAAAGATTTATCCTCCAAAGAGACAAGGCAAAATAAGTGAGGAAAGAACAGTGCCAGCTATCCGAGCATACCTCTGATCAGTAAATCTCAGGATTCTCTCAATGGCCCGAGTGTTGACTAAACGGATCACAACTGACCCAATTTCTCAAATACAATTGAGTCGGCTTTTCCAGCTTTAGCTAGTCACCCAATCTGAATCATACCCTTCTTCTGCCTGGTTGTTCTACCTGAATCTCATCTTTACACTACCTCAAATTAGTATTGGGAGACAAGGAGCAAAGAAGGAAAAACAGCTTCATTATGAAATACTTGTACCCCCGTGCCAAAGCCAAAGACTGGCTTTGAGGTGAATTTGGGAATCACGCACAGGGATCCTGGTCGCATGGACTTCCAGTCCCACAGTGCCACGCAACTGTGGGGCTTGGGTAGCCGCCTCCCCCACCCACCTGCCCCGTGGTGTCAGGAAATACTTGCCTAAGTTTCCCTGACGCTCTCTCCCCGAGTTCTACAGCCTTTTTACATTCTTCTAACAGGTCCCGGACACACCCGTGCTTGTCTGGGTATAGTGTTATTTCCTGTGACGACAAGGTGAAGAAAGCATAAAAAGGACTGTCGCAAACCTCAAGGAGAAAAAGCACTGCGCCGGCCGGCCCCGCTCCTGCCAGCTGGCCCACGCCGTCCCCACTCCGGTTCCCCCAGACAGTCCCTCCTCTGTGACTCTCCTGGTGGGACACTCTGCCCACACCTAGGGCAGACCCAGTGTCAGGAGAAGCTAATGTCACACAGATGCAGAAAGCTTGCCAGTTCCATAAAAGGCTCTCAGGAAACGATTCCCTGAAGGGTCACCCAGGAAGCTTCCCCAATTCTCAGCACAACAAGAGAACGTGAGCCCAGATACAAGAGAAGCCGACTCTGTGCTTTCAGCCTCGTCAGCTCTGCACCAGGGAGGACAGCTGTGCTCCAACGTTCCCTCCATATTGACAGAGCCAGGAAGGTGGGAGACGTGGCACCCAAGCACACAGGGACGTTACAGAAGCACCCACAGGCAGCCCAGACTCCCTCAACCCAAGCAAAGGCAGGGAGAGCTGGAGAACGGTACTGCCCCGACCCAAGGGGCAGTGTCCAGAACCACGCTTGCCCAGTCAGCAGGGACAGGCATCTCCTTTAACTTCAGGTGGGAGGAAAGACCAAAGGTCGGGCCGCGTAACATGGGGGGCCAGTCACAGAGTGCCTTCTTTTGCTGCCTTGGCATCCAAGGCCCCGTTAAAATAAATGCATGGCCAACTCCGCGACACAGCAGGAGCGCACGGCTCAAGGGAAACCGGGTCACATGTGGTGACCCAGTTTGAAACATTGGCCCGGCCAGCCTGAAATACGCCGAGCACACCAAGTGCTCAGGATTGGGTGGGCTGGCGTGACCACACCCTGCGGGAGGGTGCTCACCTCTCTCATCTCGCGCTTCCTCTCCCACACGCTCTATTGTGAATGAAGAGAAGAAAAACTAGACAAAAATTCACAGTATCGAACTTACCTCTTCCCTAAATTGGCTGTTTAACCATATACACTTAAAACTTCGCCTGTTTTCAAAGTCTGTGATTTTCATCTTGAGCTATGAAGAAAGGACAGACTTGTTTTAGGCGTGCTTCCACAAAACCCCACGCTTATCTTCAGTACCCATAGTTACATTAATTTGGGCTCATACCTGCTGATAGTAAAGTTTCTTAGGTTGTCTAGGCTTGAAGAATTGTAGAAGATCTCTTAAGGTACCTTCATAATTATGTCTAAGAGGATTACCTGGGCCATCCCTATAACTACACAAGAAAACAGTATATAAATAAATGACTTGCTTATTTGTCTAAAACAAATACCCACGAGTGAGCGTAAGAGCAAACCACTAGCCTCACACCTAGACTTGCAGTTTGGACCTGGCACAGGGTTAACTTATGACTGTTTCCCGAGACCTCAGTCCCTCTGGCTGTCACATGTGAATGCTCTGGGAGTGGTGACAGCGCACAGAGGCCTGTGGGGCAGACCCAGCTGGACACATGGGAGATGGTCATGGCTAAAGCAGTCTGCTCCGGATAAGACTCAGTTATTTGCCATCTTGGAGTAAAGTGGCCAAGACGCGAGTGGTGACAATTCTACCTCTGAATCTAGGCAAGAACGGCATGTCAGGTGAAGTGGCTAGCTCCTTATTAACATTAGTTCCGGCATGTTTTGATGAACTACGGGAAGCATGAGACAGAGACCAAAGACAGCGTTTGTGAGCGTGGCTCACCCTTGAGACTTGAAAAACTGGAGCAACATTGGATCTGTGTTGAGTCTTTGTGCAACTGTCTTTGCAACCTGGGAGATGGGAACAAACCAGAAGACAGAAAGTAAGAAGCAAGTTTTGTAGGAAAAATTGAAATTTGCTTATGAACTTCATGACTAATTACTTGGTTAAATTAGTAAAGAACATCGTTATGAGCAGTCTGAGTGTAAATTCCAGAGAAATAGACTACCAAAACCTAATAAACTATCACCATGATGAAGACAATTCTTTAAAAAGGATTTTGGGGGACCAGCAGATGGAATGGTGGTTGGGGTGCTGGACACCCACATGGCCAACCACCGTGTGAACCCCGGACCTTGTAACTTGCTTTCTCACTCTCCACTCCCTCATCTCTTTCTGAGTGTATGTACAAGCAAATTGAAAAAATAATAAGTAAAATTAAATCAGTAATTCTTTTTTTTAAAGAAGAGGATTTTGAATTTTAAATTTGAGGTCTGTACTTTTTATTTGCTGATGATTATCTTTACAATGGTAACACTTGGCCTGTTATAACTGAGGAAAAGGAGTGTTTCAAACTGTTAGCTCAAACCGAATCATGCCAGGGTAGGGAAGATTTCACACACACAAGCACTGGCACGGCAGTGGAGAGGCCGAGGAGAACACGGCTCGCTCCCATGGCAGTCCCAGCCTGGGTGCGTGTCAGCCAGGAACTCCCTCAGACGACGGCATCGTCACCCCTCCTCCTGAGCCGGGTCTACCAGGCAGCCTCTTCAAGCATTTTACAAACTGGTTGTTCTGACAAAAAATTGGAAGGAAGGGGAAACTTTCTCTACTACCTACCTGAAAGTAATTCATTCTATTTGATAACGTAACCACAAACCCAGGGTCATTAGGGATTGTTTTATCACAGAAAATAACATCAACACGATGGTAGAGGTCTCTGAAATATTCTTTCGCGGTAGGTAATTCACTGTTATCGTTTTCGGGGTCATCCCTGTGGGGGAGAAGAATAAATGCAGAATAAATCAAAGCCCACAATAGGGGGTAAGAGACAAGACAGCAACATCAACATAGGTCCCGACTCCTGCTTCTGGGTGCAGGAGTCTGCCCTGATGCCCCGTCAACGAGGTACCAGAACCAAGGCAATCCGCAACCGGGTGTGCCCCAAGCCACACATAGGGCCTGGCTGCCTATCCTGTGGATCTCCCCACCTCCGGGCAGACACAGACTCAAGACGCACTGCCTGGCCCACAGGACCAGCAGGCAGCAAGGCCCGGTCTCCGACCCGAGTGTGTACATGGCGCCTCGATGTGACCTCGAGCTGCTCGTGGACCCACTGGGTTCACACACAGATGGAGCATGTGAACCGCCCCTCGGGTGCGCCGAGGGATTTCATTTTCGTGTTTTAGGGGCAAGAAAACGCCGTGGTCATCATCCATGAAGATGACCCTGACAGTGACCGTGCTCACTGTGGACACTACTGGGTGACACACCAGTGAGGGAATGCTCACCACCCATATCCGGAACCCAGAGAAGCCCAACTATAGCCGGCACGGGCACTCTTAATAGAACGTGGCTGGGGTCTCCCAGGAGCAGTTTTGACTTACAAAAACATCACTTCTGCAAAGTGATGCAATTCTTTGGAAAGTACCTACTTCTGAAAGACGATAATGTCACCGTCCATCAGTTCATCGAGGGCTTTGTCCAGGGACACGTCATAGTCCTGGATCCTCTCCGTCAGGTTCGGCTTGACTTCCTACAATAGGGAGAGGACACAGGGATGCTGCAGCGCGTGGCGGCTCAGGGCTGCCGCTTCTGCCACAGCCTGCGCGTTCTCCACAGCACGTGGGATCCAGCCATAATTCTGCAAGTTGAAATGCTAATAACTCATCATCACTCATTCATAAATAAACCCGTAAGTATGCAATACTCTCCGATTCTACATAGGTAAGAATCACAAATCTAAAACTGATTCTCACCCAAAGCTCTGGGTGACTCAATTAAGAGACTTTTACAAAGTAATAAATTCAGGGATAGCGAAACATATAGTAAAATCCCTCCCCCACACTATTAAAGAATTACTAATAAAGAAAAAAGAGGCATCCACACCTCATAGAGGATAAGGCTAGTATCCTGGATAAATCCTGCTCTGTCACACATAACTGGGAGCAAGTCACCTAGGACACAGAAAAACATGTTTAAACCCACAGCCGTAATACACGGAGCACAAGCTACGTGGAGGCAAACACAGCTGGGACTTACGTATTTTGCAGGATATTGGTGTGTAGATATGCCCACAGTAATTCAAGCTCCGTGTCTTAGGATCATACATCTTCAAAAATAACATTACATCATCTACAAAGTTAACAAATGCAATTTGTTAGAATCTTAACATTCAGTATAATGTTATAATGTTTCTTTCTTTCTTTCTTTTTTTTTTTTTAAAATGAGCAGAATGTTTAGTACATCAGTGACAAATGAAATGACAGCTTACAGTCCCTGAGAGGTACACTATGCCAGATGAGGCTGATCCTAAGACTATGGAGGCAGTTTCCACACATCAGACCCAGGGGTATTGCCACATCTGAGGCAACAGAGATGAACAGAAGGCAGTGAAGTTAGAAACCCTGGTTTTTAGCCCTGGACCAATGTCACCATAGGAATATTTAACAGTCGTCCTTGCCAAGAGCGACCACTATATTACAGTCGGAAAAACCTGTCATTTTCAGCAGGGGTCAGTCAATTCCAGCCCACCTGTCGTGTGCAGTGGGCTGTACTGAAAGACTGTCAGCACCAATGTTTGTGCGTCCTCTGTGGGCACTTCAGTGCCACAGGGGCAGGCAGATCACACGGCCCAAGCCAGGGACAGTTATCCCCTGACCTTTCACAGAAACGCATGCGACCCTAGCCCTGTGTCTGGCCAAAGTGGTCAGCATGATGAGGGGTTGAGGGGCTGGTGAGCATGACAATGGGGCTGAAAGAGCCCGTAGGACCCCAACACACGACTTGTTTCTCCCTACCCCATGGGATGCTTGCAGCTGAATCAGTCCCATTAGACTTCATCAAGAAGCCTTGAACAGGAAAAGAATTCAGTGAGCATTTGTGGAATTAATCGAGATCATCCTTTGAGGGAAGAAGGCTAATCCTGTGTGTTCAGAACAGCAATCTGGGAGTCCGACCTGAGTGCTCTCAGTGTGGCCAGGCGTGTTGTGGGCACTTACGATCTTTATCAAACTTGGGCAGTGTTGCTCCACTGGCAGCCAGCTCAGGGTCTACTGTTTCCAGGAATATTGTCCAAGGATTTTCATTATCACTGAGTTCAATCATCTATTTCCAAAAGAGATGCCGAGTTTAGGAGATTTGAATGGCTCAGGTGACAGCAAAAATCTACAGGTGATGACTGAAGAAAATGTCCAATTCTATTTAAACTGGACTGAAAGGGAAATGTGTGTGTTAACCGCAGGGTCCCACACGAGATACGTTATATCAACAATATTTACGGTTTTGTTGCCGTCTGCTTCATTATCTAACATTGCAGGTCGTTTTGTTCCATTACTCCTTGCTTGCATGGGCCACAATCGAATTTGATCTTGTGGAAATCCCTAAAGAAGAAAGTTAAAAAAAAAAAAAAAAGCTCATATTCTAATTCTCAATTTAATAATTCTACGGCTGTAGAAAACAAAACTTGGGACCAGCTGGCAGTGTAGTAGTTAGGGCAGCTGGATCCCACATAGCTGGACTGAGCTGCATTTTGAAACACATGCATGTGCATGCCCAAGAGCTTGAGAGGAGAATGGATTATGGCATGGCTCAGGTCCTCTTTACCAAGAGATTGTTGGGGGCGGGGGGGGGAGGGGGGAGAGCTGCATTCATATGCAGCTTCTTTCTTTGCAAATTCTATTGGAAGACTAGATTATAAGAGCAGAGTCATGACTCAAATGTGGATCCCCATACTAGTAGGAGCTCAGGATTTTTCTTAACACTCACTCCTCACCGGACAAATGTGCTCCGAGCAGCCACCACACTGTTAGGCAGTGCCCAGACACACCCACAGAATAACCCAGGGGGCTGCCTTTTCCAGCTACAGAGAAAGAAAGTGCAATTTGGGAGCAGCTAAGAAGACACTGGCACGCACCATGGTCTGAGAGAGGTTCTGAACAAACTCGGCAAGTGAAGAGTTCTTCAATACTTTGAACACAGTGTATTTCACTTTTTCTTCATCGTACATGTCATTTCCTTGGTGGCCACAAAACTGGTCCTCTGCAACGATCTGAAAACACAAAATCACGTTCACGATCAGCAGAAGGAAGAGCTGATCAAGACAGTGTACATAGGGGAACCAGCAGTTAGTGTAATGGCTATGTCGCTGGACTCCCACATAGTCGACCGCGGTTCGCGCCCCGTACCCCATGGCTTAAAACCCACGCAAGGGGCATGTGCATGCATGCCCAAGATCCCGAGAGAAGAATGGAGGAGAAGGGATTGTGGCGTGGCCATCCCCTCTGGGTGGTGATTTCTTGCTTTCTGTCTCTCTGTCTGTCTGGCGAGTGCATGCGCCCTGTAGTGAAAACCCCCCCCCCCCACCAAAAAAAAAAAGACAGTGTACATAGCGAATTGCCAAAGTCAGCCTTGTATGCCACAGAAACATGTCCGGAAGGCCAAGGAGAAAAGTATAAAATGACCAAAACCTAAATGAGATGTTAATTTAGGAAAGACAGGATCACGATCCCTCCTAGCTATCTTGAAGCATCAGCTGGTCTGACTGTGAGGGGACCTCCCCCTTAGGTCTCTAACCACCTTCCTGACTTTTCACACTGTTCTGGTCTAGTGGCTTAAATTAAATCACTACTCAGAGATTAAGACCTCACTCCTGCATGGGAATGTATAACAGGTCTTTGAAAGGAAAAGGGAATTAGGTATGAGTTTATTTTGGTGCACAAAAACTTGAAATCCATTTAGTTTTTTCATGATATGCATTTTTATATGCATCTTTTTTGAAGACCCTAACAGTCAGTGAACTGGCAGGAGCAGTTACC